TACACGTGTACACTTCCAGTTTCAAAACACAAGGGTACAGACTAACTTAGACGTGTACACTTCCAGTTTCAAAACACAAATAGATCTAAATCAATCGGCAATTCATGTTTTCTGCACTTCAATTATATCAACGTAAAATTTCTTAATAAAATGTTATGACACATTTTCTTAAGCATGATCACAGCGCCAGCAAATAACACAGACCACTAGTGTAAACACGATGGTTTTAACTTTAATGGTGAGGCGGAAAGAGAACGCATAACATAATAGTAGAACCAAAGCCGGATCGCCGAATCCGGAATACTAATTACTGGCGATTAGTTTTATTAGCATTAAACAGATTCAAAGTTACACGTTCCACGACGACACAGTGCATGGTTACTTAACCATTTAACACAAATAAGATTTTTCAAAGTCACATTTGTACAAGTAAAGTAGACTATTTAACTACGAGGTATGCTCTAGTACAAACAAAAGTCATCAAAACGTTTTGGGGTTACAGTTTGTCTGTTAGAGCGACGTGTTGGTGGCTCCGCACTAGTGGTACTCGATAGGTCATCAAGAGGTTGTAAGTCGAGCACCTCTGACATACTGTTTATATGGGGCTTATCGCATTCACTATGGGGTACGCCTGTGCGGTCAGGCGGTAGTATGTTCAGATATGGGCCTAACGCATGTTGGGCATGGTCAGGGGGTGCATATATGGCACAGGGTATGTCTGGAGACTCAGGAGGGCCCTCTTGGTGCGAATTCAAGTGTAATTCGTCCTCTGCACACGTGTCCAATGTGAGAGATTCCCATGGTTTTCGTGTAGACGATACAGCACTTTCTGATACTTTATAACAGTCAGTCTTTTTGACGCGATACAAAGCGGACCGGAGTTGTGTACCAGCAAACTTCTGAATGTTGCACCACATTTGGTCAATTCCGGTTACTAAATAACGGTCACGAGCGGACGACTTATTTCTATCGGAGTGGAGGTAGACCAGGTCACCAACAAGGATGTCTGTGAGTGTAGGTAACCTACCAGAGGGCATTTTAGACTTTTCACTGGACGGATGGTTGAGGAGTCTGGCGTCGTGTTGTTGCGTTATAATGACCTCATCTTGAACTGGGATCTGTTTGTGGGTAAACTGATCTCTTTGTGTCCAGACCTCCCGAGCAGATATTCCATTTTTTCTGATACGCGTTTTAAGACGAGCGGTAGCTAGCGTAAGCAACAATGGAGACACTGCGCGGGACGTGGGGTACTGACGAAGAATTTCGTCCTCAAGCTCTTGAATAGCCTTTTCGGCCACAGGGTTTTTGTTGGTGTTTTTTGCATTGCCAAGTTCTATGGCAATTCTGTGTCCTGACAGCGTGTCACCAGAGCCCGAAAGCTTGGTGCTGGGTCAGTACGGACGACCGCATGTGGACCATCTAAGGGGCGCAACTCTATCAGAGAACGAATAAGACCTACACGAAGCGTATCACGGCGCTCGTCCTCTAAAAGCTGGGAGACCGTATAGGATGAGACACATTCACGTACAACAAGAATGACCTGTCGCTCGCGTTTCATAATATCAGCAGCAAATTGACAGCCTATAATAGAGGGCGGATCGCTAGAGGTTTGGTGGTGAACGACTTTAGGGATTTGTTTGAGAGCCGCGCACTGATGACAACCATCATTCACACGCTGGACGGCGGTGTCCATGTCGAGAGCGTTAAAGTAGCGCTGTGTCAATGCTCTTAGTTGGTGATCTAATTTGATGTGTAGAGACATCAACAGTCCGTCGATTACATGTCGCGGGACAACAATGCATTCTGATGGGCTGTTAAGTGGAAGGCTTCGTTTCACGATGATGAGTCCATCTCGCGACAATGTAGTGCCATTAAGGTAACGTTTGACATCACGAAAGTTAGTGACCTTTTTGGAGGGTCAGGTACCCTGCCTAAGGTGGGCATATGTACGTCTGAGGTCGGCACAGTCGGACTGAATATTTAACCATGCAGATCTGGTAGTGAACGGTAATCGCGCAGTACCATTGAGGACATCGGTCATTAAAATGGCACACACTACAGAGTCCATTGTCTGGCCAACAAACGCGCATAATTGACACATTGACTCGGAACACTCGGGTGCATTTCGAGTGGCGAAGTCTGATTGGATGATCGCACAGCCCGCTGCATGTCGAACTGATACTTGAAATCGACTCGCTGTCGGCAGAAACGTAGTGACAAGAGGGCTCGTAGAAAATTCACCTCGCATGAGTTTTTCATACGCTTGAACACAAGGTTTACTATCGGTAAGTACACAGGTTGTTGTAGACGACTGAATGATGTATTGGCTAAAGTGTTTGATTTCAGCGGCAATTGACAGTGCCTCAATCTCACATGGGAGCCACCTGATTTAATTTGTCCTGAGCTTGGCGCTAAAGTACCCGGCTAGCAGTGATTTGTTGTTTCTGGTGACATACAAGGTAGCTCCATCGGACCAGTGAACGGTTTCTTTCGACTCGCAGCCGGCAACAGCGTTTTCAAGTGGTGACAGTAGTTCAGAACAGTGTTGAACAACCCTACTAAGAACTTTGAACGCTCCAATGAATGAACGAAGTCCGAAAACGTTTGTCGGTTGAGGACACGACGCGAGTGTCGCGATCCGATGTTGACTTGCTTTGAGGGTTTCCAAGCGCCACACCCAACCCATGATAGATGTCTGTTGGGGAGCAATGACAGTTTTAGGTCCCGACAAACGCAGATCACACTGGTGAAGAGCCTGCAGTACAGCTCTCCAGTTGTCCAATAGTTCCTCAGGCGAGTTTCCACCACAAAACAGGACATCCGCGACCTTAGCAACAACTCCTTTCTCCAGGAGGTCGCCCAAGACACGGCACGTGAGCTCTTCGAGAGCAGTTTCGGAGCCAGGTATACCCATTGCTGTACGCGCGTAATTTCTCACCCCTTTGAAAGGAGTAACGACGCCGCAGTATTTCATAGATTCCCGTGCGAGTGGGAATTGATATAACGCCTTGGTTAGGTCTGTGGCAATAATAAACTGCCATTGGGCAATTTGGCGTAGCGTGGATTCTACATCCGACATGAGCGATGGTTGAGGTTTACTATATCGCCCGAGATCAGCAAAAGCTGTCACAATGCGAAACTCCCCGTTGGCTTTTTTACAAGAAAGGATGGGTTTACGTACTTAACAGAGATATTAACGTCTTCAGGACGTCGAAACACACCGATTGTGATATATTAACGTCTTCAGGACCTCGAAACACACCGATTGCCTCCTAACATCGTCTGTAATTCAGTGAGTTGGTTTCGCGAGTACTGGGGTATACGACCCTTACGTTGGGGAGGTTGGACGGGGCCATGTTGACTTTGGCCTTGAAAGGTCCCGCAGCGCCATTGTATCCATTGAAATTTGGGTCAAACACGTCGTCATACTCATTAAGTACACCTCACGAAACTTCGATCTCATGTCAGCGGACATGATATTTTTCGGATCGACTGTAACCTGCTCGGAGTGTCCCTGTCCGTAGGTTGGTGATTTCTGAGATTTGGCTTTAGGTACTGCACTAGGCACGAAGCCTGACGGTGAGCTATCTGGGGGAATAAAGGTAGCTCGTACCTTACAAATGTGTATATGACGTTGAAGCTGTTGGGGTTCCTCGGTCAAGTTTGGAATACGGATTTTTCCTGCGACACTTGAGAAAATAGATGGACCAGGCCACGATGTTGACTTGTCATGCGGCTCCACAGCAATGGTCATGTCGGTTTCACCCAAGTCCTCAGGGAGGTTAATCTCCACGTATTCCCCTGGCCAAACGACGGATTCGACAGGTGAGCGAAGTACGTGAGTCCTACGTACTGCGTGTCGGTCCATTGTGGTCCTTTCGGACCCGTAGGACAATGTTAATGAATTCCCTATTAGTATTTGTCTCTTTGCAGGGCGCACTGAAATGCCATTTTTTCCATGAAGGAAATCCCAGCTAGTACATCGGAATCTAGGTTTTCCACAATGAGACCTTCAAAGTAGAGATCCTTACCATCACGAGTAAATATGAGGCGCGTCTCGCCTATAACCTTAAGAGGCGATGAGCCATCAGCCTGACTCGCGGATTGTGTACTTGCTGTGATCTTAGCGCCGAGTTTAGTGGCACACGACAATCGCATCATGTTGCCCGTAGCGCCAGTATCAACGGTAAGCCGAACCGAGTGGTGGTTGTAGAACACAGCAATGTATGGGGACTGACGTATTACTACCCTGTTGATGAGATCACATTCAGTGTCACTACTCCCAGACGGGGGTGGGTAGTTCAAAGTCCTCTCCAATACAGGTGTCGGTCGAACCTAATACTACGCGAGCTTTGGCCATGAAACTTTTATCTTCTGTGGGGAGGTACACGCACTTACTATGGAAATGTTCATCAGGTTTCCCTGCTGCCTTACAGAGGGGACATGTCCTTTTCGTCCTGGCTGGGTATTGGGGACGTTTCGGCTTAAACGACTGAACAGATGATCTCATGGCTCTCGCATCCTCTGTGGTTTGTAACTCTTCCAGTAGGGAGTCGAGGGCCTGTGAAATTTCAGGGTTGATTGATGATAGTGTTCGCGAGCGGAGTTCAGTGCCATATCGCTGTTTTACAAGCTTAGGCAAGTCTATATATATATCAATCTGAGCCATGTAAGAACAACAAAGTTTTCAATGGAAGGTGTAAGCTCCTCATCAGCTTCAATTGCATCGCCATGATGAGGGATCCCCGAGTCCCTATTTAGCAGGTTGTCCTCTGTAAACGCCATTATTCGTTGAAACAAGTCCTCAGGGCGTTAACTAGCCGCAGGTTTTATTGACGCAAAGTCTTTGAAGTGGGCCCCTGTTGTTTGGAACCCGAAGTGTAGGCGGATCTGTTGCCAAATTTGATCAAGCGACGTAGAGCTTTTCACGATTGATTGACGCGATATTATTGGGCAGTAATTCGCTATCTGCCCTAACATTAACTCGAGGGTTTCAACTTTTTGTTCACGAGTTTTTCGGTTAGCACGGGCGACGTCTTCGCCGTCATTTGTTAACCCTCTGAATTGATTTCCTCTCACCCCCTTCTCCCACACTTCCCCCTGTACCAGAAACGGGGCAAAATTGGGGTCTAACGAGAGGATGTATGTCAAATTCTGCCGCCAGTTCTCGAACGAGTTGACGGTTTCCGTTTTACTGAGGCACCACTGCTTCGGTGCACGCTGCATTTTGATCGTTTTGTACACTTCACAGTAGAAAAGTCACTACGACGTAGTCTTCAATATGATTACTTACACTTTTACAGTGTCAGACGAGAGTTCTTGAAACACACGCTGCCACCACGCCAGCAAATAACACAGACCGCGAGTGTAAACACGATGTAATGGTGAGGCGGAAAGAGAACGCATAACATAATATTAGAACCAAAGCCGGATCGCCGAATCCTGAATACTAATAACTGGCGCAGGGGCCTGTGGTATGATGCAGTTCTATGGGAACATTCGGAAGAAAGAAAAACATGCTGTAAACTATAAGCATGTACAGCAAAGATTTCAAAGTATGTAAACATTAAGATTTTTTTTATAGTATAATGAGATTAATGACCAAATGCTTTAAAAATCAAACCATGAATAGAAATTGTGCAATGGGCAGAACAACTAACAAAAAAAAACATATTTATTCTCGGGCAATAATGATAATAAAACAGTATGGCATTAAAACCTATTAACTTAATACATTCATAATATTGCTGGAGTTGCTGGCTTAACCGCTCATATCAGAAACAAATACAATATTGTCATATAAATCTTAAATTCAAATTTACCTACTTGTGTGACTCAGAATATTTTAATTATGTATTGAGAGTTCAACTTTTTTTCCTTATTGTATCAGGTATGCAGATGTATTGACTGTGGGATGACCACATCATTATATTTTCTAATGGAAAAGATGACTTCCTATAAACTTTCCTGTCAGAGACACCTATCCGCCCACCTGAAATTCTCCTGAGTGTGTCAGTAAGTAGGACTACATGTACATTGTAATAAAATTGAGTTATAAATGTTATAATATTATAATCCAATTACACTCCAGTCAATCAGTTAGATCATTATCAATTTGTTTGATGGATAATTATTATTCAAATATTGGAATTATTTCAATTTGAAATATTTAATTTGTGAAATTCTGAAATTATGTATGGGCCTTGCCAAATAGATACCCTATTCATTTGATGCGCAGTACCACCATTTAAAACAAAATGAATCCCTTAACTTAAGGTGTCCCTATACTATATTTTTCCAAATGAAAACAAATGTCTCCACCCATTTTCATGTTTTGAGATGTACAATTTAATTTTCAAAATCTTGCCTGCAAGTTAATTTCAAAACATTCTACTAGCCCAACCTATGTTTTCATAGTAAATAATGAACATTTTCACTAGCCCCAATGGATATTAAATCTACCAGCCCAAGTGTTGAAATAAGTTGATATGTACAGTATTACACACCCCTGACAGAGTAATTCAATATATATATATATTTTTAAATATACTTGTAAATGTCATAATACTTAAAAAATTAACAACCAACCTGGTCAACTTTTTATCAATTCCTGTTCAGAGCTCATTTGCCTTTTTCAGTTTATTCCACATGGTGTATTATGCACACATCAATTTTGTTTGACCTTATCATTTCAATTCTCATCATAATGGACAAACTGGTATTATGATTGGTTTATCATTTGTTGTGGTGCTGGTCTTTTTTATCAAACAGTTTAACAGAAAGTGGATGCCACTCAGAAACAACATTCAGAATAATATTGCAACAGTATCTTCCCCACATTCTGCTGGAATGTGAATCTTTAAGGAATGGCATACAGAAGGTAAAAAAATGAAATGGGTACTATATGTACAGCAATGATTTCCTTAAAGGTTGATTACAGCAGTGTTACCTTACTTTAAAATTCTGTCTGTAACCTATATTATTTTACCAGTGCAGATACACCCACAAACACCTACAATTTAACTGCATAATGTGTTTGCCGACACATAGCTGCATATAGACTGGTATGCAGGTGAATCCACTAAAGAAGACCTAGCAAGCTTTGCAAATTATCAATACATTGTATCTTTCTTTAAAGCAGGGAAATGTATTCCTCATAAATACGATATTGAGTTGTTGGAAGTATATGTCTCTGCTTTAAAAACATTTTGGACTTTAATATCCTGAAACTGGTTATATGTACCATTTGAATTGCTTCTTAACCTCCAATCCTGACAAAATCCATGTATTAAATTTGTTAATACCTTTTTGAGTGTGTGCCTTGAAGGGGTCATCTTCCCCCTGAATTCCATCGTTTATGATTGTTCAATGTTGTTGTTTTTACATCCAATAAATGTGCAAAGAATGCATTCTTTTTATAAAACTGTTTTACAATACAAGAGGCCCAATGGGCCTGAATCGCTCACCTGGTGTTACTCGCACACTTGTATTTTTAAAAGTGGACTTAAATACAGCTACAGGCAGAATATCAGTGTTTGATTAATAAGAGCCTATTAAAAGATTTAAACATATGACGCCCGTGTCCTTGAATGTCGAACAAGGACATTAGGTTGAACAGAGTTTATAGTCTTCCGACCCAGCATGCTTTTGGGAAAATATCAGTACCCTGGACCTTTTGGTTATACAGAAGAAGTTGTTAGAAGATTTTAACACATTTGAACCTTGTGACCTTGAAAGTAGGTCAAGGTCATTAATTTGAACAAACTTGGTAGTCCTTAATCCCAGCATGCTACAGGCCTAATATCAGTACCCTGGGCCTCTCGGTTATTGAGAATAAGACGTTTGAAGATTTGAACACATTTGACCGATGTGACCTTGGAGGTGGGTCAAGGTCATTCATTTGAACAAACTTGGTAGCCCTTCATCCCAGCATGCTACAGGCCCAATATCAGTACTCTGGGCCTTTTGGTTATTGGGAAGAAGACGCTTGAAGATTTTTACACATTTGTCCCCTGTGATCTTGAAAGTGGGTCAGGGTTATTCATTTGAACAAACTTGGTAGCAAATTAACCCAGCATGCTACAGGCCCAATATCAGTACCCTGGACCATTTGGTTATTGAGAAGAAGTCGTTTGAAGATTTTTACACATTTGACCCCTGTGACCTTGAAAGTAGGTCAAGGTCATTAATTTGAACAAACCTGATAGTCCATCATTCAAGCATGCTACTGGCCCAATATCAGTACCCTGGGCCTTTTGGTTGTTGAGAAGAAGTCGTTTTAATGGAAAAGTTGACGACGGACGGACGACGGCCAGACGGACGGACGACGGACGCCGCACCACGGCATAAGCTCACTTGCCCTTCGGGGAGGTGAGCTAAAACCTGTACATTTTTGTATATTGTGTTGCATAGATGATCACCAAACCTTGTATGTACCAGGTATATAGCAATTGCTATTTATTTTTTATACTTTCTGTTGATATATATACACTACATGTAATTAAATTTCATTTCAGGGGTGCTAAAAGTGAAGCCTGCACTTGACGGGGATGAGACTGATGTGAGACTAGTATAATGAGAGTGACAGTCATTCCTGAATGTCTTCCAGTGGGGTTAGAGGCTAAAGGATTGTCACCAAGTTGGCAACATATGCCTGCTACCTCTACAAAAATACTTGCAAGTACCTTCCCTGCCTACTTCTAGATGTAATTAATCTCATATTGGTGATCTATCCAAACAAAGGAATGATGACATACTGTGTTTGAAATCTACTTCTTAGGTTAATAGTGCATTTCAGTGACTATTCTATTCAGTCCATTTGTACTGGCCTAAGGACTGTCTTTCTGTGACTGTACGAGTTTTATAGGTTTTTCATCATGTCAAAGTGTTTACTGGATGTAGAATGTGAGGCTAAAATGTGAAGTGTTAGGCGATGAGTATTAAAATTTTATTTGGCTAATAAAATGATGGGAAATCTACAAAACAGAACTTGTTATTTATTATTTATAAAACTTAAGGAAAAGAGTGTTAATAATAGGAATAACATATTCTGTGCCTTAACAAAATTGCCTGTTGTATTTTTTGAAATTGATGTTCACAATTTCCTGAGAAAAACAATCACTAAATTGAAACAGCAAGATTTTGAAGTTTTTCCATTAATGAAAAATGGTACTGTTGGATATTTACATGGGAGTCTGAGGCTAAGCATACCACCATTTCCAACTGAAATAGAATAGTCAAATACTTATTACGCATGTAATTTCTGTACTGTACTGGGTGGTCGGGTGATGAAGTGGATAGCGCACTTGCGTATCACCAAGGCAGCCGGGGTTCGATTCCCCAATCGGACATGAAAAGATATGGGGTCACCTTCCCGACCGCGTGGGTTTTCTCTGGGTACTCGGTTTCCTGCCACAGTAGGGCACCCTACTAGTCAGGCCGAACAAATGTGATTAATATAATCTGAAATAACATGTTTCATAATTGTTGTGAAATAAATAAAGTTTATATTTAATTCCTGTACGAGATTTATCCAAAGTGTCGCAAGAATATACGCTTAAGAGAAATATAATTGGTGATTAATTCAAACAGCCAGGACCTTTTGATTTTTCTAGATTTTTTTCTTTGATGCATTCTTAGAAATAATCTCTTTAGTACATTAAACACTTTTTGAACTGGGCATGACTGACATTCAAAGTGGCAACTTACTTTTAATAAGACAGTGACCATGCTTGCTACGTCAAAACTCGCACAACTTAATTTCATGTACGGCTATTCTAAAACTCGCACAACTTAATTTCATGTACGGTCATTCCAAAACTCGCACCACTTAATTTCATATACGGTCATTCCAAAACTCGCACCACTTAATTTCTTGTACGGTCATTCCACAACTCGCACCACTTAATTTCATGTACGGTCATTCTAAAACTCGCACCACTTAATTTCATGTACGGTCATTCCAAAACTCGCCCAACTTAATTTCATGTACGGTCATTCAAAAACTCGCACCTATTAATTTCATGTACGGTCATTTCAAACTCGCACAACTTAATTTCAACTGCGGTCCTTCCAAAACTCGCACCAATTTAATTTCATGTACGGTCATTCCAAAACACACAGTAAACATATTTTTATCACAGCTGTAACTGAAAGGAAACTGTACGTACAAAAGTATTATTTGTCCTATGGTTATATGGAACCCTATTTGTTTTACATTTCTATATTTGTGTATGACTTAATAACATATTTAATTATTTCAATTTAAATGCTCTAGAATTCTCTTTAAATCATGCTTAAACCTCTTGAATGAAGCCAGAAATACACAGTTAAAATTACTTTACATAATCTGCTAACCATCGGTGACGTTTGTATCAATCTTAACAGTAATGTCGGAAATAATGACGTTGTGAGCAACGTCAGAAGTCATATATAGCATACTGTTAACATTGGCATCAAATCGTCAAATATTGACGGACTGACATAATGTTTATATTATTTTGACCAGGATTGTTTTTAGATTTCGAAATCATGAACATAACACAATTTATTTTTTACGACTTAAGGACTAATACTCCAGCTGGCGTGATACTAACGTGCATGGACCTTCGTTCGGTGATTATCATACTATGACGTCACAGACACGTCATACTCCATTGGCCTTCATCGGTTATTTCTGGAGGGATGAAAAATAACCGGAAATCTTTTGAGCTGATATCCATTGCATTATCTTTTTGTCGGTGCTTCAGAACTTTTTTTATTTCTGTTTTTGCCAGTCACAAAAAGTAAAAATGCGGATATTTTCTGAATAGTCCTTTTTGTCATCAACCAGATTATGATAATATTTCTGCCGGGAGATATCTTCTAAAGAGCCGGCATTAAACCAATGCCAGGTGAACGTCAGTACGTGTGTACATGTAGTTTTTTTGAAAACCAGTTGTTGAGAATATAAACGAAATAACTAAAATATATGAAGTCTTTACATGATGTATTTATATATCACCACTCATAAAAGAAACAATTGATAATGACTTTATGGTGAAATCAACAACGATTTTCCAGACCACCAATACGAGTTTAACGCCATTTTTCAGCAACGCACTACTGTTTTACACCGCGTGCCGATTTATAACTAGTTACAGGCAGAAACTGTTTAGTTTTTTTTGGCATCCTTCCCTGTCAAACCTCGTTGACTGTAAAAAAAAAAAAAAAAAAATTAAATCCGGTGTTCCGGTGGAACAAAAATTGAGATTATATATCAATAAAACGACATCCGATCTTTCGACAGGAAAAGTTAAATGATTCTTCAAAAACGGACGTGCTGCCATATTTCCCAGAACGGACTTAAATAAAAAGTGGACGAACTTCCCCCGATCGGCCGATCTCCCCTTATTGTTATGTAGGTCTTAAATTTTCATTAGATATTGTTTTTATTGTAATTTATCGACTTGCCGACTTTAAATAAAGCTTATCTTATCTCATTCTGAAATCAGTATTTTCTCATTTTGATCGAATCAGTAAATATCAGAGATCAACAAAAGCTACGCTCTTTTAAGGCTTTGCCTTTTCATATTATATGCTTTGTTTATTTATTTTGTTTCCATGTAAGTGATGTTGTGTAAATTTTAAAGTGTGTTGTTGTACATTGTATATATGTGTCTTTTACATGGCCATATTGTAAACTAGACGAAAGTCTAAATATGTTACCCTGTCTAAATAAAAGAATTTATAATTGTTATTATTATTATTATTATTACAAGCTAACCGATAATAAGATTTATATATATATGTACAATGCCGCCGTGACTATTCTCCATGATAATGCTTATTGAAGATTTAAAAGAAACTGTGGTTAGGTATACATGTAGCAAACACTAGTAAAAGCAAGTTTTTTTTTTATAAAAGCACTGGATAAAGTCTTGAGTATAATCAGCCCAACAGAACTCAAAATATAAGAAGTGCATTTTATAAACTGATTTTCTATTCATATAGTAACAGTGATAGAGACCTACCCCCGGGCCTGGAAAGTTATCCCAAGCAGGCACTTTCTTTGAGGAAGCACTGTATAAAGTCCAGAATGTAATCAGCCCAAGAGAAATCAAGATATTGTGCATTAGTGCATTAAACAGATTTTCTATTTATAGTGACCCATTGACCTTTGACCACTGGACCTGAAAAAATATCCCGAGCAGACACTTTCTTCCATGAAGGACTCGATAAAATCTGAGTGTAATCAGTCCAATAGAATTCGAAATACAGTGCACAAACTGATGTTCTATTTATAGTCAGTGACCTTGACCTTTGATATCAAAGGCTGAAAAGCTATCCAAAAGCTTAAACAAACATTTTATTACACTGGATAAAGTCCATGTATGCGCACACAAAATGCTCTACACTTAAAGTTGATAAGTTGACTTTAATATTCATATGTTTTTTCTGTATGTTATAACCACCTCCATAACATATTTGATGAAGTTGCTAAGTGTTTAAATTGAATCTGTTGATGATTTTCTATGTCTAGCAACAGTGACCTTGGCCTTGACTTTGGAACCCTGAAACACAACAATGTCCGAAGTATACTCATACTTGACCTTTGCATTAAGTTTGACCAAAATCCATAAACGAATGAAGTTGCTAAGTGTTTAAATTGAATCAGTTGTTGATTTTCTATATATAGCAACAGTGACATTGGCCTTGACTTTGGAACCCTGAAACACAACAATGTCCGAACTATACTCATACTTGACCTTTGCATTAAGTTTGACCAAAATCCATAAACGAATGAAGTTGCTAAGTGTTTAAATTGAATCAGTTGTTGATTTTCTATATATAGCAACAGTGACCTTGTCCTGACCTTGGAACCCTGAAACACACGGTTATACCCATATTTGACCTATGTATTAAGTTTGACCAAAATCCGTGAAAGAATAAAGATGCTAAGTGTTTAAATTGAATCAGTTGATGATTTTCTATATATAGCAATCGTGACCTTGACCTTGACCTTGGATCCATGAAATACAACGATTTATGAAGTATACTCATACTTGACCTTTGTATAAATTTTAACCAAAAACTGTCAAAGAATGAAGTTGCTAAGTGTTAACATTGAATCGAGACGGGACGCGACGGAACAGGATGATTTTCTATATATAGCAAATGTGACCTTGGCCTTGACCTTGGATCCCTGAAATACAAAGATGTCCGAAGTATACCCATACTTGACCTTTGTATAAAGTTTGACCAAAATCTGTCAATGAATGAAGTTGCTAAGTGTTTACATTAAATCGGGATGCGACGCGACGTGACGGGACAGGACGCCGCACCAGGGCAAAAGCTCACTTGTCCTTGGCAGGTGAGCTAAAAACAGATAGAAGGACAGACAGACGTAAAATCTGATTACTAAAGATGTGCATGGGTCCTAACAACAAATTGTGTAATTGAATTGGAGAATCCCCCTTTGGGACCCCACTCCTCCCCCTAGGGAGCCAGAGTAATATGAGAGAGACCCTCTGTTAAACGGCATTCAGTCTTCTTACATTATGTAACCAAGTAATGCTCCAGACCATTGGTTTGAAAACATCATCAAGCCATACAGAAGGACTTCAAAGGATGTACTGTTTCAGGTGATTTATGACCTCGGAACAGTCAGGGTCATATGAGGACGGGTGTCACCTATAGAAGAAAACTGCAATTCGAAGGAAGTGCATGTGTTGACGGAAAAAACCCAGTTAATTATGAGAATTTCCTATGTGCAAAAGGGAATTTTAATACATGGTTCAAACTCTGGAATCTATTATGATAAAGCCACAAACAAAGTTTCAAATTGATATGGCAAGCGGTAGCGAAATAAGTCCAAAAAAATAATTCCTATGTGCGAAGGGCCATACCTCCAGCAACAAATGAAATATTGACACAGGGTTTGGACTTTAACTGTAATCCATTATTATAAAGCCACATACTAAGTGGCAAGC